GTGGGAAACAAACCCACGACCTCAGGCTTAGCAGTCAGGGTCACTAACCACTAGACCACAGATCCGTCAAAATGACTTATGTACGTCAATATGACGCACGCTGTCAAACGAGAATGAGAATAATATTATTTGATGTAATGTCATTACATTTATGAGGAATATTGTTCTAGAAAGTACTTATCACTATGATTTATTTTAATAGTTCGATAGGGTTAAACAATAACTGAGGACGATGACCTTAATTGCTGCTACACTAATAAATAAAATCGGCCAAGTGTGGCGAGTCACGTTAACAGTAGAGTTCCTTTCTGTTTTAAACAATTAACAACTGCGTCAAAAGTAAATTGTTTTTAAGGATTTTGTATTTTATGCGAATTCGCTAACATCTTAGAAGCCGGATCACTTTACTCTCTATGGGCTAATCTAAACCAAAACTATTCATTCCTGGTCATAAAAGAAATATCGGAAAGACCCTATACAATGTTGCACATAATGCCGACCCCAAATAAAATGGGGGATGGGGGTAGGAAAATTATAATAATGATGATGACATCTAATCACTATTGGTATTGGAAATCAAAAACGGTTCCTTATGCATGAAATAAAAATTGACTCCAACTAAGCTCCTTCCAGCTGCACAGAAGCCTCCAGGTGCGTTCACAGGATTCCTATCACTTAAGCAGCAACACCTAGTGTGTTAACTATACATATTACTAGCCCAGACTGACTAATTCATCAACGCAGAGCCTGACCCGCTAGGGCTACAAACTTGAAATTTTACCATCTGATGCTTTTTATGTTGTAAATACCTACTAAGGAAGGATCTTTTGAAATTTCACCCCTAAGACATAAGAAATAATAACTCGAACGAAGCCATGTGCAATAGCTAGTGTATCCTATAACTTTTATTGAAAAAGTAATAATAGGCAATATCATTTAATGCAATAACCTGCATGTTGAAAGGCTTCTTATCTTATTAGGAAATGGTGGAATGCTATGCGCCATTGTCATTTCTATTTGTAGACCTTTTTTATGAATAACAACTTTGTTCAACAAAGAAAAACTTTTGTCATTGAAGAGGTGGATTTATTATGCTATGGAGGGCAAATCAGCAGGTACCTGATGGTAACTTAAAACCGCAGCTTATGGGCACATTAGTCCCTTCCCCCAGAATCAGAAGAAAGGGAGGTTTAACTCCGGAAACCGGTGGCTACTCACTCAGTGAAGATTAAAAACAGTTTACACTGGTTTTCTTTGAGGCTGTTTTATCACTCCCATAGAGCTGACCCATTTGTGCCCCAGCATAGCTTTTTCCCATAACAAGTTTAATGTTATATGTAAATATACTCCTTGTTAGAATATTCCAAACAGGTATTACTTGTATTGTTATATATATACTTAAAATATTACATAAAATATACTTAACAAAAAAAAAAAAAAAAAATTCTACCATGTAAGTAAGTCTACAGTGACATTTTGTGTGGAACAGTTAACAAGTCAATTCAAACTGATGCACATAGATGTGCATACATTCAGGTACAATTAACTTCTATTGAAATGTCATACTAACTGCTTTTTATTAAATGTACCTTAACATTTACATGTATATCCAAAGTTTTGTTTTTAACTCTTAGTCTCTCTGTCTGTCTGACTGACTCTTGGGCTGATTTTTACAGGAGTGTCACAGTCAAAAACTAAATATGTACATGGCATACTCTCCTAGTACAAAACAAATGAACTAAAATCTAAATTGATTTAATAATTACAATGACTTTTAAAGTGAACTAGCTGTATATAAGAATATTCTAGAATGTATTCTGCTTTTGCATGCCATCGATGGCAAAATAAGGTCAATTGTTTATTTAAATTGACTGTTTGAGTCATATTATTAAAAAGATACTTACTGACTAACAAAAACAGTGAAAACCAGGCGATAAATGATTCTGCATAAAGTAGTATTGTTTTGTAGATTTTAAAGGAAGTATATATAACTATTGACATAAATTCAATGCCTTTATTTGTTATTTTCAAACTTTTTTTGGCATTTTTTCTTTAAATTTGAATGGGGCCAAACGGTTTACTCCCTTTTTACTATTCTCAAATAAAAAAGAATCTTCGTAATTGGTTCATAGATAACAGTTCTGAGGTAACAAATTAAAAAAAATATATACAGCCGAACTGAGAAGTTCCCATTTTGAAGTTGGTTAAATAACAGCATGACATGAATGTTAATAAACTTAAGCACAAATGCTTTTTTAATTTATATTTAACTTCCACCTAGTCATTTCTTGTCACATAATCAATTAGTATCGCAATGCGTCGTTTTAGAAGCGATTAGCACCAAAGGCTATCTGTGACGTGTCATAACGACCGTTAAAATGGAACACACTTTGTTTTCACACACATCGTGATAATTGAGTAATGGATTGATTATATGATACTTGACACAATGGACATTAGGTAGATAACCTAAAGGGTTGAACCGAACAGATTGCTGTATAGGTTTGCATAATGCAAGTACAGAAATACTTTGAAGTCTATTATACCTACCTCATGCTATTTGCGACAAATCTTTGAAGTTCTCGGAAGTTCCCTACTATAATATATATGTATTGTACATATAAACCTTCCTCTTGAATCACTCTCTCCATTAGTGCATAAAACCGCATTAAAATCCGTTGCTTAGAAAAGATTAAAGTTTACACAAAAAAGCGACTTTCTTTTGTACTATGTAAGCATAATGACATAACATTGATCAGTTAACATATCAATATTAAGGAAATGAGGTCAAACTGAAGCTATATCATATTATTTTGCATAATATTGTGTTACCATTTAGCATAACAATTGTCTTAGCAACTACTCAGACAGTGGTGTTTATTATAAACACTCTATGTAATTATTAATTTTCTCCTGTTAGCTGCTCTTAGATTGCTCATGAATCTTTAGTTTCATTTCCTACAGTTTCTAGGAGTCCAAACCAAGAGATACTTTGTATTAAACATAGAAGTAGAAGTAATAGGTTATCTTGGTATGGACATGTCATGCGGAGGGATGAGGAAAATGTGGCGTAGAACGTTTTAGGTATGAGAGTTGAAGGGTACAAGAGAAGAGGCAGACCGAAGAAGAGGTGGATGGACTGCGTCAGGGAGGATATGGCTAGGTTAAGGGAGTAAACAGTGAGATGACGCATGACAGAGTAGAATGGAAAAATCATACATACTGCGCCGACCCCAAATAAAATTGGGAAAAGGGTAGGCAGATGATATAGAAGTAGAAGTTGTCTAAGTTAAGGATAATCATTGATCAGACAAGATTTACAGATTAAAAGTAATAATAACATCACATATGTCACTCACATCACATAGGTCATGCATGCGTGTGAGCACATGCATGACCTTTGGCTTAGCAGTCAGGGTTACTAACCACTAGACCAGGGATTCCCAAACTATATTGGGCAAGAGACCCCTTTTCTAAAATGAACTAATACGTCAGAAACCTATAGCCCAATTAATGCATGCTTGTCAACTTGAGTTTAAAACAAAAACCTACAATGATATTTCCTACTAAAATATTAGTGATTCAACTTGGTACACGTTACAAAACTAATACAGTATCATAAAAGTATAAAATAAGAACTTGTGTTAATTAATAGAGGTCGCTTTTAGACCTCGTCTACCAATACCAGACCTCGTCAACCCCGAAAATCGGTTTTCGGTTATATCGACCCCTGCAAAAACTGATTTCGAGCACTTTGAGACTCCCTGCACTAGACTAACAGACTCTTGAAATAGATGGAAGGCAATTTTTAGCATTGGTAAACTTTATATTTTAGAATTTTAAAGGGTTAGTAACCCTGACTGTTAAGTCAGAGCTCATAGATGTGTTGAGGTTTTTTTACTTTTATTCTATAAATCCTGTCTAATCTGATGTAGTAGTAGACCTTCTTCTAGATGTAGAAATAGCTTAGGTAGCATAGGTAGAGTAGGGTCACCACCCCAACTCTATCCATGGGTGTCGTAAGAGCTGACTAAGAGAGCAAATTATGTAGGGCAGGACAGCAGCACTGCAAAGAGATAGAAAACTTGACACAAACCCTATACCAACCCAGGCCAAAACCACCTTTCTAAGGGGAGACCTATTAAAGGTGCCGATGATGAAAATTTATATTTAGGCGAAATGGTACGATTTTATAATGTGTATGCGGTCAAGTCTCGGCTCAGCTCATAAGGGTATTACTATAAATTCTTATATAGCCATTTTCTATTAATGAGCTCTCTGTCATTCATTTATCTGATAATATTAGACATTTGTGCTGCATTTCAGCCAAAAAATAACTATTTGAGAATAAGTAGTTTAAGATTTTACTATGAGGAATCCAGAAATCAACACCAACTGTACCACCACTAAGGTTTAAAAAGCTTCCGTAAAAAAATTATTTTGATGTATGTATATTTGTACGTAGTTACCTAGACTATTGAAAAAATAGCGCATTCGAAGCGTCCATTGTAACCTATATCTAAAAACATAAATTTCTTTGTTCTAGGCTTTTTTTTTCATGTAGATATAATACTTGGTTTGCATCTAGGCAGCTAAGAACGGGCGTCCTTTCATAGAAACGGCCTTACTAGACATCGAATATCTGCACAAAGGCGAATAAACGCGAAAATTAGCATTCTTTGAAAATATATTAAATGTTGTGCTTTTCAACAATGTAGTCTCGTGCCCGAAGACAATAAAAGCTTATATAGGCGATAAAATCCACGTGAAAGGAAAAAGGTTAGATAAAAATATGAGATTGCAACATTGAAGTACCTAAGTAATCAGCCAATTACAATGATGACGTATTGAAATGAAGGACAATGTAAAATTTGAGTAATCAAAAACTATTCCATTCTCGAATTATGAAAACGTTCTTTGTTTGAATTCGAGTGGCCTCATAAAATAATAATAAGTATAATAACAAAGGTAAAGCGGTGATAGAAAATAAAAGTACTCACAAATAGTTCTTTTCTTCGAGAATGTTGGACTCAATACCATCAACATCGTAGTAATAAGCGTAGTTATTAATACTACTACTAAAATTTAACTGTTGTATCAACTTCGTCATCTTGGTTAGTCGTAGTTAAGCCTTGAAGAAACTAGTGAAGTAAAACACGGCTTAGACCGTAAGTTATCGCAGAGAAATTGCGCAGTAGACACGAACACTTAGCAAGCAGAGTGTAGATTGATTTCGGTTTGATGAATAATCAACTTGAAGTGACGAGCGAAAGGTGACAACCTACAAATTATGTAGTATATTATTTACATACAAAATGCACGTGGCAAGGAGCCGTCTGAATTTGGTAACGTAATACAATTTTTCCATAATGGCTACCGGAAACATGACGTTTCACTTCTCGATAAAAGCATTCCGTTACACTCATTGAAAGAGCTCTTTTAAGTGCGTTGTAAATAGAAAGTCCCAACTTGAAATTAAAAACTATATTAGCCTTTCGAAATCTAAAAGACTGATATTTTTCTATTATTTTGAAATAATAAAGCGTTATCCTCATCGTAATTTTATACTATAAATGTTTAAACGTTAAAATGGATTACGTTTCGTTCCTTTAAAACACAACGTCATCGTAGACCGCAGTGAAGCTAGCTGCGAGATTATCGATTGGGAATGACGCAGCGTAATGCGTACAAAACAAAAATTAGAATCGATTGACTTACCGATTTCGAAAAATTAACGAAGGCATACTCTTTGGGGGCTCAATACTTTTATATATTGGTTCTTGTATCATGTAACTGGATGCCGGCAAGGCATGTAACGTCATAACTTCACTTTAATTTACACTTCACTCAGATAAGCACTTCCAATTAAGGAATGTTTAACTACTTCACGGTGCTGCACATTAAACACAGCTATACGCGTATATTTCTTTCTGCAGTTTTCTGGATTCTTGTATAACAACATTCAGGCTCCACAGTGTGTTCACGACTGGTGGTTGCTGCCGCATCGACTATATTGTACTAGGTATACAGATATAGGCAAACTCCCTACATTTTGAGGGGTCCAAGAGGGTGGTTTACACGGGTGGATTTGGCAGGTTTAGACTTTACTTATTAAAGTAACGTTTTCAGTGATTCAAATTTGTTTATTAAAACAATTTCGAAAATTGTAGTTTATTCTGCGCCATAGATAAAATTGTAGCCTTTCGACTGGAAAAAATCCTCCCCTTACAGGAAACGGTTGTGATGTGACACCATTAAAGAGGTACACCACATGAGTATCGAATATAATGATAAAATGATTGAATTAGATATTCATAATAATTTCTACCGTTATAGAATTGAGGTTTAAGTTTACGAGTGTTCAGGCTTTGGGCCTGATATGAAATACATACGCAACTTTTAAGGACAATGTATAAAATAGGTATCATATGTCACGCAGGCGTTCTATTACTTCTTTCATTCTAGACCATGACACATAATGTACAAATGTCACTCGCCTACCAGCTATAATATAGACAGCATCACTATTTAAGAAAAAAAAAATTGTAAACATTGACTGCACATTGATATTAAATTTGACTGCACGGATGGCGTAGTGGTTTAAGCGGCCGCCACACCGCTTACTACTACGCTGTCCCCCGCGACACAGGACATGTTCCTAATGCGAATGTTGTCTTTAACAAAAAAAACATTTGCTCTTTCTAAAGATATAACATGGTGGCACATGAGGGGAATTAAGAAACTCCCGAAATTAAGAATATATTACCAAAAAATCTCCTACTGAACTGCATGGCGGTTATTTCTTCGTTTCTCTGGACTCGGAGCCTTGCAGGGGAGAACCAAGGGAAGGATACCAGAACTACTGTACAGAAGATACACTACATAGAAGAATGTCGTCTGGTCACCAGGAGAATTCGAGATCATCGTGTCATGTTAGAGCAAGCTTAGAGCAAATGACTAAATTTAAACATTATTTAAGTAGCCTTTCTATGGAAAGCGATTTAAATGCTATTCAAATAACAGAATTAAATTTAAAGCTTACTAAGTTTGAGGCATTGTCGGATAGAGTCGATGACTTGCAGAATGAAATAGAGGTTTTAAATCCTGATATTATTAATCCTGAGAACTAAATAGCGGGCAAACACATCAAAGCTGAATATTGGAGACTTGGTTCTCTTAGCCGATGATAGTGAGCCCCTCTTGCTTGGAAACTCGGACGTGTCAAGCGCCTTATATTTCGACCTGCTGGGATATCGCGACTGGCGGACATTCACACGATCAAGCGCTGCTTGCGACGCTCGTTAGTCTGGCTCTGCAAACTCCCCACCGCGGAGGACCTTAAGGCTTGAAAGTTACTCTTTATATATGGGGCGGGCAATATGTTCAAGCTTTGAGCCTGATATGAATACATATGCAACTTTTAATGATAATGTATAAAATAGGTATAATTTGTCGCGCAGGCGTGCCATTATTTTTTTCATACAATGATCTACATAATGTACAAATGTCACTCGCCTACCAGTTATTGAATATGTATGTGTGTCAGTTATGAAAGCATTTTTTTTTCTTACGCTTTCATTTGGCGCCATTATATTCTGTAAAGTTAAAACAAGGAGGTCTAACAGACATAATTTGCGTTTACGATCACTGGTACGCTATTAAGAAATATAACGTCACGTTATGTATAATATACGAGTATAACTTTCTTAAATGCAAATTCTATTAAATGAAAATATTTTTTGAAACCTGTCAGATAGGTTAAGTTTAAGTCTGACAAAAACTTCCACAGCTGCATTTTCCTAGTATTTTATTATACCCACTATTGCGGCAACTTATGAAATGAAATCAGGAAGTTCCTATAATTTTATTATTCACATTTTAGTTTTTAAGCTTCAGAAAGGTCTACGTTTTCAAATTATAAGGTAGAATGTCATCTCATATTATAATAAATGCTTAAAATTTTCACCTAGTGTGTATTGTGGCTGAGGTCAAACGCATGCGCATTAGCCGAGTGACGTGACATTGTTTACCCCCTAGCTTCTATTCGATTGTTTTGATTGCCGATTTGGGATAACTGTAGTCAAGTCCTTTATTTCAAAGTTAGAACTATTTCAATTCGCATTTAGAACTATTTCCAAGTAGTATTTAATCAAAAGATTCTGTACATATTGACATACTTCAAGAATATTCCATGAGTATTCTAAGTCAATAATCTTATCGACTGGCCTGTTGGTTTAGTGGATAGTGTTACTGACTGCTAAGCTAGTGATTGTGGGTTCGATTCCCAGCCAGAAGAAATATTTTGTGATGAGCAATATCATTTGCTCTTTGTCTGGGTGTTATTTTCCTTTTTCACTTGAAATACTTAAATTGTATTTAAATTTCATCTTATTTACATAATATAAGATAAAATCGCTTTGTTTTCTTGTAAGTTTAGATCTTTTAAACTAAGCAACGAATTTTAATGCGGTTTTCTCCACTAAAGACAGAGTGATTCAAGAGCAATGTTTATATGTATGATACTTGCATATTACAGCAAAGAAAACTCCGAGAATTTCAAAGATTTGTGGTGGAATAAAAGAAAATAGCTTTCCGCTAACTAAACCTTATAGCATATTGCAGCATATCATTAAAATTAATATCTTAGAAGATTTCAGAGATTTAAAAGCAAAAGCAAGCCAAAGCGGCCGTGACGGTCGGCCGTCCCCAGTGGCAGCGGCGCAGGAGCGAAGCGGGTCTATATATATTGCATAGATAGATAGAAGATGTCCTGTAGTCTTATCATAATAATATTATTATTAATTACTCCACACTGACACCCCATTTGTAGTATCTACATTGCACCCGTGCGAAGTCGGCTCGGAAAAATGTTAGTATTGTGGTACCTGCCACTGCGCCAGTACTCTTTGAAAAGGAGCCCTGTTTGGTCTGTTACCAGATGGGGTTCCCCGAAATACACAAGTGAGGGCTTATTCCTAACGGCCACCATTAAAACTGCCATCTGGGGGGTATTGGGACAAAATTGTTTATTTGTACCCAACTGCCTCCGGTGGTGGCGGTTGGGTAAAATGTAAAATTAAATCACGGTTTATTTAAAATTGACCCACGTCACGTCATTATGTAAAAGTCCCATTTGGGCCTTTTGTATGAATTAGTTATTTATAACTACTTTTTTAGAGGTTTATTTTCGTTGGATCCCAGTTTAATATTTTCGCCTTGGATCATACAAAAAAATTATTCTGTTTTATTGTCGTTGTGTGTGGCGCTTGATTGTCCTTGAAACCCAGAAACTATTTGCGTTTGATCCCAAATGCTTAAAAAATCTGAATCAACAACAAACTTGTTTATAATAAAATGAGTGTACTCGTATATTTTATATTGACACTCATAATATCGCTTTCCTGTTTGACATTACCTCTATCTATTTACAATCGTAACCATTGCTTAAAGGGACTGTAGTCTGTAGTTATTTTGTGTAAAACTTGATCAAATCACAAAGTATAGTATTTTGATGAGTGATCAAATTCCATCTACATCAACAGATTTGAATTTCATAGACAGAAAAGGTGGTACACTTCTTTTATGTAATGCCTATCAATATATGAAGAAACGAAATATTTTGATTATATAAAGGACAGGAATACAATTACTTTTGTTTGTAGATTTTTTGTTTGTTTTGTTTGATACAGGTAAATCACTTTTCTTTGGATTAGTACAGATGTTGTTACAACATGGGATTAAATTGAAATACCACACTTTTGAAATATTATCGAGATAAATAAACGTGCAACCTATCCATGTTCAGTATTTTGTTAGTTTTAATTTTCTTCTTTTGTTTGTATAAAGTGTCAAAACAGTGCATGTTGTATTTGCCTATAAGTATTTGTTACACTTTACTTAATATTATTTGTTTCTAAAACTCTGTAACTTTTTGGATCGTTTTTTGGCTTTATTAAAAACTTTTTTAATTCTTTTTTTTAACATCTATTTTTTAAATTATTCGAAAATTAAAAATAGTAAGCTTTTAACAGAACCTATGACCCGAATAGTTAGAGATATTTGCTACCATATATTAGTGCCTATCTGGCTGTTTACCGAGTACCAGTTAGA